TCCATGTATTAGAGAAATTTCTGCGGTATGCTTTGTTATTGAGAGCTAGCTTGATTCCACTGTGGTCAGATAGGATACAGGGGATTATGTCGATCCCTTTGTATTTGCTTAAGTTCCTTGAATGAACTATGATATGGTCTATTTTGGAGAAAGTTCCATGAGCTGCTGAGAAGAATGTGTACTGTGTTGTTTTAGGGTGAAATACTCGGTAGATGTCAGTTAATTCCGCTTGAAGTATGGCCTCACTTAATTCGGTAGCTTCTTTGCCAATCCTCTGGTTGGTAGACCTGTCCTTTGGTGAGAGTGGCGTGTTAAAGTCTCCTAGTATTATCGTATTGGGATCTATTTTATTCTGTAAGTTTGAGAGCATTTGTTTAACATATCTGGGTGCACCGATATTTGGGGCATATAAGTTGATGATGGTTATATCCTCCTCTTGGATTGTTCCCTTTATTAATATGTAATGTCCGTCCTTGTCTTTCTGTACTGATTTTAATGAAAAGTTTATTTTGTCAGATATCAGGATAGCTACACCTGCTTTCTTATTGGGGGAATTTGATTGGTAGATCCTTTTCCACCCCTTCACTCTGAGTTTGTTTGTATGTTTGGCTGAGAGGTGGGTCTCCTGAAGGCAACAGATGGATGGGTCTTGTTTTCTGATCCAGTCCTCAGTTCGTTTTCTTTTAATTGGCGAATTCAGCCCATTTATATTAAGAGAAAGTATAGAGAGATGCATTGTTGTCCCTGCCATTCCGTTTTCCTAAGTTTTTCTTCTTTCCTTTCCTCCTGTGCTTGCTCAGTTAGACTTTGAGTAATGCCTGTTTGGGGCAGGTCCCAGTTCCTGGTTGCTTTCTTCAGGTTGTGTCCCCCCTCTTAGAATTCTTTGTAATGCTGGCTTAATGTTTATGTATTCATTTAGTTTTTCTTTGCTATTAAAAGTTTTCAGTTCTCCATCGAATGTGAATGCTAGCTTTGCCGGGTATATCAGTCTGGGTTGGCAGTTATTGGCTCTCAGGGCTCGTATGGTGCTTTCCCAGGCTTTTCTTGCATTCATTGTTTGTGTGGAGAGATCTGCAGTGATTCTAATTTTTTTCCCGTTGTAGTATAGCTCCTTCTTCATTTTTGCTGCATGCAGGATTGTTTCCTTATTATTCAGATCCATCATTGTTACTATTATGTGCCTAGAAGTGTTTCTCCTGGGATCTTGCTTGTTGGGTGTTCGATAAGCTTTTGTGATGTAGTTAAGATGGTCGTTTTTGAGGTGGGGAAAATTTTCATTGACTATCTTGTTAAATAGGTGTTGCATTCCCTTGCTCTGGAATTCCTCACCTTCGTCCACTCCGATTATGCGAAGGTTAAATTTTTTAGCATTATCTGCTTGCTCTTGAATTTCCCTTTGGTTTAATTTGAGTGATTTTTCCATATCTGTCACTTTTTGGTCCAGTTGGTGTATTCTGTCTTCTGTATCTGACACTCTACCTTCCATTTCATTCACTCTGTTGACCGTGGCTTCTATTGTGGTTTGCATGATGGAAATGGATCCCTTTATGGATTCAATGTTGGTTCTCAGAGTACTGATCTCACCTCTCAATGAGGTGATATCAGTATGCATTACCTCTAATTTGGCGTTTATCTCACTTCTTACTGAGGTTTGTGCAGCTTCTATTTTTGCATCCAATTTTTGTTTGATATCCTGTATATCTTTTGATAGTTCATCCTTGTGCTCTTTCAATTTCTGATCCATTTCTCGCTTTATTTCTTGAGTCATTGCCTCCAGCAACCCTTGGATGTAGTTTTTGTCTTCCATTCCTGCTTTGCTCCCACTGGGGCTCTCCCCTGTGTGGCTGCTGGCTTTTGAGGTGAGCTTGCTGTCCTGGGTAGTGGTAAACCTTGTGATTTTTCTCTGTGATTTTCGCATGGGGGTTCAGGAGACTGCTCTTCAATCTTGTTTTGGTGTGTCTGTCTTTGCTTGGTTGCTGATTCTCTATTGGTAGAGAGAGTCTGTGTCTGATCTGGATTCTGTTGGGAGCCTATTTCCAGCTGCTATTCACTTAGGATTCTCAGCTCTCTGCTGTAGCAATTCCCGCCTTTGGAAGGGTTGAGCAGCCTAGACTGCTTGTGTTTGCTCCTGCGGGTGCTCTTGGGAAGATCAGATGCTCTGGATGCACTCTCCCAAATACTGGAGTCTGCTATGGGCTCCTGATGTGTTTTTGTTTGTTTTGGGCTGGTTGTGGGCTTGAACTCTAGGTTTGGGTGCTGTCCCTCAGCTCTTCAGCTCAGGGCTGGCACCCTACCATTTGAGCCACAGCCCCACTTCTGACCCTTTTTGCTTTGTTCAGGCGCCGGTCCCCTGGCCTGGTTCCGGCCCCAGCCTGGAGCGCGCTCGTTAGGCCTGTGCTAATGTGTATACCACCTTGGTTATGCAGCCTGGAGGACACAGTTCAAATTTCTTCTACTGTTGGTAGTCTTGACCCAGGGGCACTGTTCCTGGCTTGAGCATTTAAGCTCCCTTCCCGGGGCGCTCTTGCTCTGGCCTGGCCAGCAGAGTGTGCTCCACCGGCTGGTGGGGCTCTCGAACAGTTCCCAGTTTTAGTGGGTCCTGTGGTCCGGGTGTTGGGGTAGGGAGTCTAGGTCAGGGTCTGGGGATTCCCTCCAGCTCTGGTCTCCCTTGATGGATTCCCTGTCCCCTGATGGGTACTCACCCTGTAGGTCGTCAGTTGTTGTTGCAGTCCGTCAGTTGTTGTTGCAGTCCGAGTTCAGTTGGGGTGGTTGCGGGCTGGGTTGGGCGGCCCCCCGCCGGGTCGTTGCGATTGCGACAGGTCCCTTTGTGGCGCTGCTGGTGCCGGGCGGCTTTGGCGGGATGGAGCCTCTCCGCTCCGGTGGAGAGTGATGGGTGGGGTGGGATCCTCCTGGAGACTCCCGGCTGGTAGGTTTCTCTGTTCCTGGCGATCCGCTGTTCTGCAATCCGGTACCTGGTGATCTGCAAGCAGCCCCCTGTGTCTCTGTGGCTCCGGCAGCCCCCGCCGGGCCGGCTGGCCGGCGGCTTGGCGCACTGCCGCGCGGCCAGTAAAGGTTGGGGGAGGGGTCTTCGCTCTTCTCTGTTCTGAAATTCTTCTTTTCCTCTCTTTCTTTTTTTGTTATTTTCCACCTCTGGTTTTTCTCTGAGTGTTCGTCTTTTTGTTGTTGTCGGTCTCTTGGGGAGATTAAAGGTTGGAACTCGAACTCTCTTTTTGGTTGGAGAGAGCTGTGGCGTTTCCCTACTGCCCCGTCGCCATCTTGAGAACTCTCGCCTCAAGTATCCTCTTAAACTTGGTACTCTAGTCCCTCACAGTTTCTCCCATTGCCAGCACTGTGACATTTGCCACTTATAAATTTTTGCTAGTAGGGCTGAGAAGGTGACTCAATGGTAGAGTGCTTGCCTTGCAAGTATGAGGCCCTGGGCTCCATTCCTCAGCACAACCACATAAGCAGAAAAAGTCAGAAGTAGTGCTGTGGATCAAGTGGTAGAGTGCTAGCCTTGAGCTGAAGAGCTGAGGGACAGTGCCCAGACCCAGAGTTCAGGCCCCACGACTGACAAAAAAATTTTTTTTTTGCTAGTAATTCATTTCTCTTCTCATAGAACTCCACCTTCTGCTTTAAGAAGATTGTTATATCTCAAGACTCACCTTTTCTGATTAAGTAATGTGTTATCTCCTCTGAGCCCCTTGAATCCTCTGAATCTACCTTTTCAAGGCCACTTGTGAAATAATTGCTTTTTTAGCATTTGAAAGCAAAGCCTTAATTTCCATTGTTAGATTATAAACAGATTATCTTACATCTTTGTCTTTCTTGAATCATTTCTTCTATAATATATATGTAGGAAGTAACCATACCGATCTTTTCTGAAGTCTAAAGTACATTTTAGACTCCCTTCTTATATGCCTCAGTACTGCTAAGCCACGATGATACCCAGTCCTTCTGTACCTGGACAAGTTCTCCAGCCTGTTCACACAGCCTCAGAGAACTGCCTCTTGATTGGAATTGACACAGGATTCATTCACTGGATTCACAGGTCCTGTTATACAGATAAGGAAACAAGGGGCTGGGAAGGTGGCTCAGTGGTAGAGCACTTGCCTTGCATGCCTGAGGCCCTGGGTTCGATTTCTCAGCACCACATAAGCAAAAAGAAAAAAGCCAGAAGTGGTGCTGTGGGTCAAGTGGTAGAGCACTAGCCTTGAGCTGAAGAGCTGAGGGACAGCGCCCAGGCCCAGAGTTCAGGCCCCACGACCGGACACCACCCCCCCCCCCAAAAAAAGGAAACAAAAGCCCATGGAACTGCAGAGATAGAATCAAGTAAAAAAAATACCTGATAATAACTGGGTGGGTTCATTTAGACAGAGCACTGCATGGTACTTTGCTAAAAGCTAGCATTGTAACCAGCTTTATAAACCTACTTCATTGGTTCTCAAAACCAACCTTAAGCCTGGAAATTCAGGGAATCCCTACCTACTCAGGTCAAGAATGACTCCTTGAAATTTGGAGTTGTGTTCTTCATACCAGGGTCAGATTCACTGTGGGACACAGAAGAAGGAGCTCAGGCCTAGGGGCCAGGTAGGTCTGGGTTGAATCTGCTTCTGTCTTTACTGGAAGGCAAGCCACATCTGCAATCCTAGTTATAGCACCAATAATTGGGGCTAGGAAGAGTCACTGCACAGAGCTTCTATAAGGCACCCTTGATGGCAAACCTCCCCATTCCCTGAAATATGAAGAAGTGGGGAGAAGACTTCTCTTCCAAAATCACTCAGCCTCAATCTCTAAAGTAGGCTTGGCTTTATTGAGAGCATGTGAAGGTATTGTTTTAACTAAGAGAGATACAGAGCTTTCTTATTCTGCCAGTAATTCTATTATGTTATGCATTGAGCTAAAAGGAAAAAGTTGAACTCTCTCCTTAATCAAGGGCTTTGATCCCCGGCCCTTGAACCCAAAGCACAGCAGTTTTCATGTGGTCTGCTCTACCGTAGGTACCTGCATGGAGCTCTGCACTGGTGACTGGGACTGTGGACCAGGAGAGCAATGTGTCAGCAATGGCTGTGGCCATGTCTGTGACACAGACTAAGGACAGGTAAACACATGCACCCTTTCTTTTTCCCTGAACCTTGTCTGGAACTTTACTGAAGTTGGGTGGCACAGAGTCTACTTGTCTCCTTGTAACCTCTTCTCTTTTCTCCCAAAGAAAAAGGTTCATCCACTAAATATTTGGCGATTTCCAAACCTTTTGAAACATTTTTCTTGGCCAGCACCTCCTGAGGAGAAAAAAATAGAATTTTGGGGCTGGGAAGGTGGCTCAGTGGTAGAGTGCTTGCCTTGCATGCATGAGGCTCTGGGTTCGATTCCTCAGCACCACATAAGCAAAAAGAAAAAAAGCCGAAGTGGAGCTGTGGCTCAAGTGGTAGAGCGCTAGCCTTTAGCTGAAGCGCTGAGGGACAGTGCCCAGGCTCAGAGTTCAGGCCCCATGACCGGAACCCCCCCTCCTAAAAAAATAGATTTTTTTTCTGTGTGAGCTGTCACTGGGGCTTGAACTCAAGGCCTAGATGTTGTCTCTGAGCTTTTTTTGCTCAAGGCTAGTGCTCTACCACTTGAGCCACATCCCTGTTTCTGGCTTTTTGGTGGTTAATTGGAGATGAATTCTCTTCTCCAGCTGGCTTCAAACTGTCATCCACAGGTCTTAGCTTTCTGAGTAGTTAGGATTACAAACACAAACCACTGATACCTGGCTTAAAAATAGATAATTTCTGAGTGAAAACAAGATTTAAAAAATCACTTATAATTATCTACTCCCAAAAGGTGTCTTAACACAATGATGCAAATTCTTGAACAAGAGTCTTGTATCTATTTCGATTTCTTAATCATTTCACTTTTTTTTTTTGATGGTCCTGGGGCCTGAACTCAGATCCTGGGTGCTGTCCCTGGGCTTTTTATTTTTGCTCAAGGCCAGCACTCTTCCACTTGAGCCACAGCACCACTTCCAGCTTTTTCTGAGTAGTTTATTGGAGATAAGAGTCTCATGGGGACTTTTTTCCCCCCCCCAGGCTCGTTTCAAATCGCAATCCTCAAATATGAGCCTCCTGAGTAGCTAGGATTACAGGTGTGAGCCACCAGCGCCTGGCTAATTATTTCACTTAAAAAAAAACAACAAAGAAAACAATTTTTTTTTTTATTGTAAAGCTACTATACAGAGGGTTACAGTTACATGAGTGAGGTTATGAGTACACTTCCTCTTGAACATTGTTACCCCCTCCATTGTCAAAGAAAACAATTTTAAAACCACTGCTGTTGCCTCTCTCCCCTCTCCATCCCACTACCACTAGCTTGACAGTCCACCATACATGCTCATACACTCAGTATCCTCCATGAGTACACATTTAAGATAAATACAAAATTGCTCTTGTTAATTCCCTTGGAATAAATGCCAGGAAAGAATGTATGTTTAAGCTTTTTTAATGTGCATTGCCATTTTGATCCATGAAAATCCTTTTCTTGTATACAAATATTTTGGAGGCCTCATATGATAGCTTCTTTATTTATTTTTGGTAGCCATTAATTGAAAAGGAATCATCATAAAAGCTATTCTGGCTCAGGTTTGATTATAAATTATGTTGTATTAAATACAACAAATCAGGAGATACTTCAAAAACAAATCACCATTTTGCTGAGAATGTATTCTTTGTTCAGCTACCTGCAATCCTTGATGTTCAGGACCTTATTGAGCCCTTGTACTAAAATATCCTGGATCCAAAAGAGACTCCAAGACACCCAGTTAAAGGAGGTAGGAACTTTATTACCACCATGCGGGGACAGCTTCCTACTACCAGAAAAGTAGGAGAACAGCTTTGAGCTCAGGGTAGGATGGGTTTTTATAGAGGTAGGTGACATGGAGTTACATAGACGAGCCATGCAAGGCAGGTTTGGCACATTTTCATTGGTTATAGTTACATGACTAATCACTGCTTATCTCTTCCTATAGTTTCTACCTGCAAAGATGTCACTGGAACTCCTTGCCTGAGAAGACAGATGAAAGTGGAAGCATGGATATGGAGACTACATGGAGTAGGGGGCAAAGAAAGAGGAGGTGTCTATTTTAATAAACTATCATCATGAAAGTCTCCACACTACTTGAGTAACTTGTTATTTGTTGTGATTTGAAAATAAAATACTTCCCACAGGCTCACTGTATTGGAGACTTGCTGCTCTGCAGGTAACACTGCTTTGAGAGGTAGTAGAAACCTTAACAGGGCGTTACTGAAGGAAGTATATCACTCGGGGACATGTCTTTGAAGGGTATCCTGTCTCTGACTGCTTCCTGTCACTCGCTCTCTGCTTCCTGGTTGTTTCCCATTGCTACAATATTATGCTCACCTTAGGAGCCTAAGCAATGGATTCAGCTAACCAGGGACTGAATCCTCTGAACCAAAAACCGGACCTTTCCTCCTTTACGTTGTTTTTCCTCATAGTAACAATAAAGCTACTGGGGTGATGGTGAATTTGAAGAAAATACGACATTCGTGGAGTACTTTCTATGCAGCAAAGATTTCCACATACGTTGTCTGGTTTATTCTTACAACCACCTTTTGATTGTTCAGCACCACCACTTCACATGACATTTTGAGTTTTGGGGAAATTAAGTAATGTGCTCAAGGAAGTGGCACTGTAGCTCAAGTGGTAGAGCGCTCGCCTTGACCTGAAGAGCTGAGGGACAGCGCCCAGGCCCAGAGTTCAAGCCCCACGACCGACAAAAAAAAAAAAAAGAATTGTGTAGTAATGTGCTCAAGCAGATAAGTGAGTGATGTGTCTGGGGCGGGAGGGGGGGGTCATCAAGGGCTCTGATGCGGTGTGAAGAGCAGAAGGCAGTCAGAGATCTAGCAGTTTCGGCCATTGCCATCCCCAGCCGGAATCAATGTCAGCCCTGCCTCAACAAACAACTTTTTCGGACAGGAAAAAAAAACAAACCAAAAACACAGGACTCAGGTATTCGCCAGACCTAGGAGAGATGGGCAGCAAGAGCTACCCAGCGAATTTCACAGAGCATTTAAAGAAGACCATCTTCAAACAAACCCCTCCGCAGGCCTTTCTGGTCCCTATAAGGAACTTCCGGAAGTAGCGAGCAACGCCCCCAAGGGATGCCCCGGAAGTAGTTCCCAGTGACTTTTACAGCAGGGAAAAACATGGCGGCGGTGCAGGTTGCTGGTTCGCTGCCGTGTGGGCAGCCGCCGCCTTTGTCTCCGCGGGAGCCGCCCGCTGACCAGATCAGTGGGTTCCGCCGCCTGGCGTCCAGGCTGCGCGCCCTGCGCCCGGATGACAGTAGCTCCGCCCGCACTGAGATCCACTTGCTCTTCGATCAGCTCATCTCCGAGAACTACAGCGAAAGCAGCGGCGTGGACCCCGAGGTAGGCGGCCTGCGGCGAGAGGCCCGCCCCGCCCTCTGTCCTGTCCCCGCCCCCTTCCCTCGAGCCCCGCCCCAGGTCCGGCCCCGCCCACCGGCCCTCGAGCCACGTCCCCTGCCCCAGGCGCCCCCGCCCATCAAACCTCGAACCCCGCCCTCTGCAATGACTTTCTCGGCCTTGGCCCCGCCCCTCGAATCGGCCCCGCCCATCAGCTCTCCCCCACCCATCCTCCTGCGACCGCTCCTTACAATAGCCTGGCCCTCGAGCCCCGCCCACTGCCCTGGCCCCCGAGCCCCGCCCACTGCCCTGGCCCCGCCCCTCGGCCTTAGCGCCGCCTCTTCAGCCCTGGCCCCCACCCCTCGATCCTCGAGCCAGGGCTGCGTCCCTTGGCACTCGAGCCGCGACCGCCTCGCCGGCCTGGACCCCATCCTTTGGGCCCTCCCGCTCTTGCTTCTCCTCGCAGGAGAAGACTCAGTTTCCACCACCACCAACACCCACCCACACGAAGTCCCAAGCTGTCTGTCTTGCCCTAATGCCACCTTCTCGGCTCTCCTCCATCTAGAAGACCCAACTTGGTGAATTCCTCAGTGGTCATCTCCGGTCCCACCTTTCCCCCGACCCCACGCCCGAAGTGCACCTATGCATCCAAAAGACATTTGTAGATGGCATTTATCATGACAGCTTACTAAGCACTGGACTTTACCATGACCGATTCAAGGAAATCTTAGAACGTGGAGATCAGAACACCAGTTCTCACTAATGGGAACACTGGAGCTTATTAAGATCCCTTTGTTGGCTGAGCTAGAATTGGAGCTTAAGGGTATCACAATGTCCCATATTTTCTGTTCTTCCAAACTAGCTCCTTCCTCTCTGCCTCTTTAGAGGACCTTTTCACTGTCTGAGTAATCTTATTCGTACTCACCAGGCCCTGCGTATCATTTACTAATTTCCTTAAGTCTTGAGCCAGTCACACCACCTACTTCTGGGGTTCACTTAAGTGGGGTTCACTTACTCAGACATAAAAGTTCCTAAAGATGAATACGCTATCTCCACACACTTTATCCCCAAGCCTTCTTCCGAACTATCTCAAACATGTTTCTCTTAATGTGTCTTCTCTCTTTTCCCATTGCCAGTACCCTGGGCAAGATGACCGCTACCTGGATATTCCACCACCGTTCTCATTTCTTAATCCAGTCCTTCCTCCAGACCTTTCTTTCCTACCAGAATTTATCTTTCTTTGTTGTTTTTTTTCATGTGACTATAAATGTAATGATCTAATCTGGCAAGATCTTCAATGTATATTGGTAAACAGTTGAAGCCAGTAGCAAAACAGTTCATATAGTATGAGAATAGTTTGGGGTTCCAGGAGGGAAGGGCATTATAAAGTAAGTGTATGTTTATATATGAAAAAAAAAAAAAGATCCAGAAGGGTAATAGGGTACTTCATTAAGGGTTTGGTGGGATAAAGGAAGAAGCAAGAGAAAGTTTTGATTTATTTGTGTACTTCGATGTTTTTGAGGTAAAAATGTAGGCCCTTCCAGTTTTCTCTCCTGTCACCTCCTTTGTGTCCTGTGTGCAGTCATTCAGAACTTGCTGCTCCTCAAGCACCTGTGGCTGTTTCTCATCTCCATTCATTCCCATTGTGTACATTTACAGTAGTTTTTTGGTGCCCTGTCTGTGTGGCAGAGTTCTATCCATCTTTCACATCATTCCAGATTTTGCTTTAAAAAAAAAAATCACCTCCCTGCTGGATGTGCTGTCGAAGGATTGTGAGTTCAAGGCCTACTCAGTTAAAGTTCAGGAGACCTTATCTCAAAAAAGAAAACAAAAGACCTAGAGATAAAACTCTAATGGTGAGCCCTTGCCTAGCTTGTTCAAGGCCCTGAAACAGACCATTCCACTGATCCTCCCTAATTGCTAGTTCCTCATTGAGTTTGTACTGAATACTTTCAACACTTAATTTACTTTATTATTTGTGTGCTTGTCTCACTCATTTTTTGAGGTTCAGGAAAATGTTTCGTCTTTGGAGCCGGTGCTCAGGACTTTGTATTCTGCAAAAGTCAATGTATAAATGGTGTGATTTGCAAATCGTTTCCTCCCTCCCCCTCCCAATGTATTTTTCCCTGATTTTACTTAAGATTAATATAAATGTCATTGCTGATTTTTCCCTATGTCGTTAAAAGTGTACTTTTTGGTATTTTTAGCCTCAGCATGCTAGAAATCTTTCTTTGGTTATTCATTTGTACTGTCTATGCATGATGCAACTAGAAACTCTGGGGCTTTTAGCTTGAGAAAAATTCAGTTGGTTCTTTTCCTTCATTTTAGCACATCTTATTTTTGTGCTGCTATTTTATCTCCCTCCCCAATCCTGAGATTTCCTGCCTTAATTTTTATTCAGATGACATCTTCTCCCATTATTAGGTGTGCTATTTAATTTTCCTATTTGGCCAGGTCCTGGGGGGATGGGGGTCTTCACCTACCTTATAGGTACATTACCATTGCTTTGTCTTTTTTTTCTTTTTTTTAAATAGGATGTCACTGCTCTTCTTGTTCAAGCTTGCCGACTTGTGCCTCTTAATCAGAATCATCTTGTCAGCAAAGTGTCTCAGCTGATTCACCATTTGCTTAACACATTACAGGTAATAAGATATATGTGACTTCAGGACTCATGAAATCTGAGAATAATTGCCTTTGAGATACTACATGTGTGATAAGTATTAGGCTAGATGCTAGAAAAAGCAAATGTTTTGGGCTAGGGGTATAACTCAGTGGTAGAGCCTTTGCTTAGGACATTTGTGCCCCTGTATTTGATTCCCAACAAAACACATACACAAATGCCTTATATTAAAACAACCTTTATTGGTAGTTCACATCTGTAATCCTAGCCACTCAGGAGGCTGAGACTTGGAGGACTATGATTTAAAGCTAAACTTATGTAAAGACTCCATCTCTAATTAACCAGCAAAAAGTCAAGCTGGAGGCCTGGATTAAGAGGTATAATGCCAGCTCATGGCTGGCATTTTACCAGGCAACCCAAGCAAACTTCAGGCTCTGAGATCAGGCCCAAGAACCAGCTTCCTCTAGCCTCTCTCCTGTCATAAGATGACTGCCTCAATTTAGGCTTCTATTATTATTATTATTATTGTGTCCGTCCTGGGGCTTGAGCTCAAGGTCAGGCACTATCTCTGAGCTTTTGTGCTCTAGATAATGCACTACCGCTTGAGCCACAGCTCCATTTTCAGCTTTTTTTTTTTGAAGTGGGAATTAATTGGCAATAGGAGCCTCATGGGCTGACTTTGAACCACAATCCTCAGATTTCAGCCTCCTGAGTACCTAGAACAGATATGAGCCACCAATGCCTGGCTCAATTCTAGATTTCTTATAAAAAATAATGTTCAGCAAAGAACCATTTATTTTGTGTCTCTTTTATCTAAGAATAAGAAAACTTGCTGGGTGCTGGTGGATCACACCTATAATCCTAGTTACTCAGCAGGCTGAGATCTGAGAATTGCAGTTTGAAGCCAGTCTGGCAGACAAATCCAAGACACTTATCAATGACAAAAAACTGGAGGCGGACACATGGTTTGAGTGGTAAAACTCCAGCCATGAGGGAGTGAGAGTGGAAAGCCTGGAGTTCAAACCCCAGTGCTGGTAACAGAGAGAGAGA